TGACCGTAGATCTTCCTTTCCGAAAGCCATGCTGGTGTGCAGAAATATACGAATTAATGGCAAAGACCAAACGCTGAGTGACGATTCGCTCGAACAACTTAGGCAAGACACTCAACTTGGCTATGCTCTTGTAGTTCTCAACGAGTTGTCTACTTCCAGTTGTCTACTGGGAATAAGAATAAGGGAAGTATCAACACAAAGGGAAAACACCTAAATTCAAGGACTGGTTAAAAATCTTTGTGATAACGCCACATAACTCGACAGCGCAAGATTTAAGTACACATGATGAAATTCCATCGGGTCCAGGCGTACAACTATGTTTTAGAGAACTCAACCCTTTAAAAACGTCATCTTCAGAAATAACCAAATTATTAATTGAAACCAAGGTAGTTATAGGATATGGGTAGTTTGCTGATAAATCGGAATTGAGATTTGAAAATATGTTCCTGTAGAATGTTAATGAACATAATCAAGCTTTTATGCTTGTGTATGTGTGCGTTGCTTGTGCAATGTGAGTAACAAGTGTTTAGTAGATGCATCCATCCATCTATTCGTCCGTCCGTCTATTCATTCTATCTATCTATTTACCTATCTTTCATTATATTATTAAATTTGTACTGGACAAACTCAAGTCATGGTCAATGGAATTTTGCTTTGCTTTGTTTAATGATTTGTAACCAGGTTTAATATGGTTTTGATACGCAAGACTGCCTAATTTTGAAATGTTTTATAATGTTTAATCATGTTTAATCAAGTTTAATGATGTTTAGTATGGGTTTGATGCGAAAATCTGCTTAATTTATGTTCGCTGCGAAAGAGAATTCTTTGGAGAATATATTCCTATTTGCTTGTATATTGTCAGCATTGAAAAAATGACGAAATAGGCGCTATCTTAAAATGAGGACAGTTATATCGGCCTGTAAAACTGGCTCCGGGTTCTACATCATCGTAAAAGTATTTTGGGCTGTAAAAACTGCAAGATGCGGTAGGTAATAATGGGGCTCTAGAATAAAATTTGGATCTGAATTAACCATAACCATATGATTTAAAACTCACATTCCATGCCTAGACGTCCTTGAATTTAGGATTATTGTCTGCCAAATATGTCACCTTATTGGGCTAGGCGTTTAGCGTTTTCTCATTCGATTTTTTGAGTCATTGTATAAACCAAGGCGATTTAGAGTTCTAAACTTTGATAACGATTGTTAAAAAACCTTTTCGTTTTGTTTCCATAAACTGGGGGAGGTTTCAGCCAAAAAAGTAAAGCATAAATAAACAAATAAAACGTCCCAACCCTTTGTATCGGTTTCAACAGAGTTAATTGAGTGATACTATCATTAGTTCACTATAAACATCATTCACTACTATCGTTTACCACAATGTTAGGGGTCTAAACTCAAAAATTCCCTCTGCTTTCTTAAATTCAGTTAGCATGGAGTTTTCTGATTTACATTCGTTGGAATTTTTAACAATATGTTCCAGGTTTTCAGAAAGGATCGATTGGATTGGTGGCAGATAATGCAGACTGCTAGATCTTTGTTTTGCAAATTTCCAGGAGATAGTTGCAAATCGCTGTCCAGCTTTAGTTTACCTGAGCGTACGTATCATCCAGCAATTTGTCTTTCCTTCTATTACAGGCATTATCGTCCGCTACTACTCTAACTGTTGCAAGGCATAGATTTAATTACTTCAACATCCATTGTTATTGAAAATACCTTCAGTTGGTAAAATCCTAACCGCTTGTTAATCCTAACTATTTCTTTAAGTTTGTCAACTCTAAAAGAAAAATCTCTATATAAATACAGATAAATAACTGAGTTTTGATTACTAACTTGGTGATTTCGCAAAAGAACGTATTAGATTATTCGAGATTTCTAAAAAATAGTTGCATGTAAATCGTACTCTTTCGAGCTATTGTTTTTTCAATGATTTTTAATCACTCTTTGAAATCAGTTGTTTTCCCTTTATGTTGGAAGAATAGTTTCCTTATTCTACTTTACAGATGTGGAAACAGACATCACGTTGAGAACTACAGAGAGATTGCCAAGTTGAGTGTGTTACCTCAATTGGTTGAACGAATTATTACTCAGCTTTTCATCTAGCCTTTTCAACTGCAATAACTTTTGAATGATTACATTTCAGAATATGTATGAATAAAAAAGAAATTTGTTATAATACGACGACTTTACTGGTCGGCGAGTAAAAATGAGTAAAAGCTATTAATCGAAGTTGAAGCACGAGAAAGTTATGGTTAGCAAATTCTTTCATTTCAAATTCATAATTTATGAGAGCACAGAAAAATAATTCAAGTCAATTGGTTAACACATCTTCAGCGCTTTTATAAAACGTTTCCACAGTACCAGTTTAGTCCGAAGAGAATGATGGCAGAAGACATAAGCGTAAAATTAGCAACAGGGGGATCTACAAGTTTTACAAGTATCGAACTAGAATACGACAAGCATTACCGATACGTCTAAAATCAAAAATAAAGTGAGATATGATGGTAACGCAAAACAGCAAGACCTAAACATAAATTAGGTATTGGGAAACTAATTTTTGATAAGGTTGGTTTTGAGAAATAATTGGTTTACAGGATAACGACTGCGGCGAACAAAAATTAGTGGCCTAACAGCTTGCTGGTTTAAAGGATACTAATCGAAACAACAAGGCATAAGCTAAGATTAAAGACTAGCTCCTAATATTATATCCATATATTTAATTGCTGTAATTATGTTGGAATTGCACCTCTCCCTTTTGCACCAACTCCCTTTTCGCACAAATTTTTTTAACTCAAAATTCGATTTAACAGTAATTGAAAAAAAGAAAATCTCTTTTTGCATGAATTTTATTTTTTATATGATTTTCACTATTTTATTAATTTTTTTTACGAATTTTTTTTTATGCATTTCTCTTTAATGTTTCTATGAAGTTTTACATTCTTCCTCCTTACAGGCATGCCTTGCAAGTTCACGTTATATTTTTTACAATCCAGTTAGATTATATGCATATAGGAATAACAAACCCTAATTATGCATAGAATAAGGACGTAATATTTTTTTAAATAATTTAATTGGATTTTTTAATCATAAGTTATTTATTATAATGTATTTAATGAATTAAAATGTGTAAGAACATTTAGGCAATATCTTTTTTTAAAACATAGCAATAGCGTTGGTTTGACAGCAATGCGATCATTGATCCATTTATGCACTTCTTCAACTTTGCGGAAATGCGTGCCACAGAAACATCGATGTGAACAAGTGGTAATCAGATACCATATCTGGTAAGTATGCTGGATAAACATAAAATGTCAAATTCCAACAAGTTCTTTCCTAATTTCTTGATATGAGTATGTTAACTGAAACTTTATGCTCGCCAAACACTTCAAAAAAAATTTAAATTTCTTCAAAAATTCTTCAGATGTGAAATAAACGGCGAGGAAAAAAACAAATTATATTTGTTACGTATATACTTACTGGATGGTCATTTCTGGTTATCTGGCCACTTCTATATATATATATCAGATATATATATCACAACCCATTCTCGTTTGAAAACATAATATATGCTTCTGCTTTGCAAACGGATGAAAGAGGGTCAGGGAGAAACGGGTCATAGCAAGTGACGATTGATAGAATTTTTCTCCTTACAAGTAATGAGAAAGAAAAAATAAGCCATGAAATTGCTGCTAATCAATAGTATTGCTACGTTATTGATAGCAGATATACAAAAAAAATAATCTGTTAGTTACAATTTTGAAAAATACGTTGGGCTATTCTTGCTATTTAGTTATCCCTGCTATCACCAAAAAAGAATTAACAAAAAAATTTTTGGATATGTTGAAGTGTTACAAAAATATAAATTAAAAAAGAAAAGCCTAAATTAAAAATAATTTGTTTGAATTGCTTTGCTTTTGTCTTGCTTATTTGATGGTTTACTTTCTTTCCCTTCTTTTCTTTTATTTGCACATATATTATCTAATTGCACATATATTCTCTATTTATTCCATATGTTTTTTTTCGTTTAATGCTAGGTTTGCAAAGATCTAAAAATGTAGTCATTCGGCCCCCATGGAAAAATGGTGAGCAGACCGGTTTCCTACATGTTTTTATAAAAAATGGGTTTCTCTTTTGGCTTTCCATTAATCCAGTTTGAAATACATATTTATATTGCAGCGTTGCATGTAAGACGACTGGCAACCTGCTTTTACACCATGTGTACAGGTAAATCTTAGACAAACCAATAAGCGGACGACAATTTGGTGGACTAATTGGCAGATGCTTCACGAACGATAGATATAAAAAATTTGGTTAATTTTATAATTTCCTACGTTTTTATTGCTAATTTTACAAATAGTATTACAGCTTCTTTGCAAAACGAATTGTCATTAAGATTATAAAGTTGACTTTAATTTAAATTTGCTTTTTAACATTTAATTACATTAAATAAATTTCAACTAAAGCTAAATTACAATTAAAATTTTAATGCTAAAAGTAGAAAAGTATTTACATTTTTGTATTAAATTATAAATCGCGAATATGGTTTTTACAAAATTGTAAAAAATGTCCCTCTTCTTCTCGGCGTAGTTGGTAGGGGAAGTATTAAGCTTAGTCGGTAGTGGAACAAAAATTTATAAAGCAACGAAATATCGTAAAATGATATTTTAGTCGAGGCCGATTTATAATAAAAAAATATTAAGCAAAATCATGGCACTTAAAGAAATTTACGTTAGAAGACGTACTGGCTGCTATCAGTCCTTAAGAAACAAAATAAGAAAAATTGTTGAAAGGGTCCAAGAGCGTTCTTCACTAGTCTACATAATGCATTTATACGTGAGTTGAAAGAAAGATTTCGAATTCATTTGAAAATAGGGTAAAATCGAATGCCACGCCTATAAAAATTGTATAAAACTATTCAAGAGACGTACAAGGGAAGATGAATTTATATTTTTGATACATTTATATAAAAAAGATTATATAT